GGTGTCACTGCAGCCCCCCACGCCCAGCTCCCACCGCCGCCTGGCCCCGCCCATAATGACATCATACATCATGGCCCCGCCCTCCATGCGGGCCCCGCCTCCCGAGGGCGTGGTCGAGGACCAAGCTCCGCCTCTCGCCCTCGTGGCGCGGGGCGGGGCGTGCGGCGCCTGCGCAGAGCGCGGAGCTGCAGTCGAGGCGCGGGCGCGGAGCCGGTGGTGGAGCCGCGGGACGGTGCGGGGGCCCCGCCGCCCTCGGGGCGAACCGGGCATGAAGCGACGGCTGCCGGCTGCGGACGCCGGGCTGGGCACTGAGCTGCGCCGCCTGCCGCACTAAGGCGGCGACGAGCCCCGAGGCGAACCGAGGCGGCGCGGCGGGCCGAGTCCGAGGCGAGCCCCGCGGCTGTTGGCGGGCGCGGCAGCGGCGGCTCCTGCCAGCAGGCTCCCCTGGGCTGGCGAGGGGCTGCGCGGGGAGGGGGCCGCGGCACCGCCCCCGCCTCCTCCCCTCCCCTCGCCGGGCCGGCGCTCCCCCGCGGCGGCGGGCGGGCGGTATGAGCGCGGCGCTCTGAGGGACCGGCGGAGCTCGGCTTCCCCCGAGCAGCCTCCCCTGGGAGCCGCGGCGGCGGATCGGACTCGGCTGGGACCTGCCATGACTCCCCTGGCTCCTCCCATGGCATGAGCCCGAGCTCTCCTCCCCGCTCCGCCCGCTTTTGGTCTCTCTCCGCTCCCGGGCTGTCAGATGGGATAGGACACACCCGGGCGTGCGGGGCTCGACGCTGCCGGGGAGAAGCGGCGGAGGCAACCGGTGACGGCCGTCGGCTCGCCTGGAGTCGAAGATGAGCTGGCGGTGGGCTCGCCAGCACTGGAACGGCGGCTCCTCCGTGCTGCTGCTGCTGCCGCTGCTGCTGTGGCACGGCCGGGTCCGGCCGGCCGGCGCCGACAACGCCAGCCAGGCGTACTACACCGCGCTCATCAACGTGACGGTGCTGAGCCCCGAGCGCGGCGGCCCCACGCTGCTGCGGATCGACCGCGGCCGCTACGGGCAGGACTCTCCGAAGGTGGAGGTCAAGGGGCTGCTCGTGGCTCCCGTCCCTATCAACGGAGGTAACGCTTCCCTCGCTCGCTGCCGGGTGGTTGGTCCTTGCCTGGGCTGGGCAGGCTTTCCTAGAGAGCTCTGACAAACGAGGAGGAAGAGCTTGCCCAGAGGGAAATAAAATAAATCCACGATCTGAGAGTGTTGGCTTGAATAACAGCTCAGCAAAGCATAAAGTGCTTTCCAGCATGGATCCTAGTAGATTGGGTGTATTGAGCGGTGAAGGTGTTATTCCTTAACTAATTACAGAGAGGGTAGCGATAGTTGACAGTGTTTGCTTACAGCATTGCCTTGAATCTCAGAACAGCTGCACAGCCATCTCGCTCTGCATCTGGATAGCTGTGGCAGCTGCATGAAGTCACAGTTTTTCAGTGTGCAGTTCTTAAAAGCACTGTTTAAGGTGCCCATCAAGACTTGGAAGGACTGAAGCTACCAAGCTGTTGCTCTTAGGGCCAGCCCAAATTGTGCTTGCTTGCAGTACTGAACACTGGATAGAATGTCTAAATCAGCTTTCTTTTAATTAAGCGAAGCTGTTGTCCATCAGCTCTTCTTTTGATAAATGTTGGGGTTTATAGAGAACACTAATTGGAGCAGCTGAGAGTATTGTCATGATTTTTGCCTGAAGTGAAACCGGTATCATCAGTAATAGTGATGTAGTTTTAACAGTATCTTATTTCCAAAACCATTCTTGACATTATCTAAACTGCCATCTTTAAGAAATGGACCACTTGATGGAATACAGTGGTCCCAACCTGCCTCCTGGGCAGTAAACATCTGAATAATGTAATAGGTGAAATATTGTAGTCAGTTAAAACTAGAGTCTGAGTGGTGAATACTAAGAGTGTTTTAGAAGAATTGATAGCACAAAACTACTGTATTATTAGGAGCTTTAGAGAATTTGCCAAATCTTAAGATCAGGAAAATGCTTTGATGCTTCTTCAGAACAGATGCATTCTGCTAGGCAGCCTCTGTAAGCTTCTGGTCCGGTTGGATCAGGCTGTGCATCAGCAGGTGCTCTGCAATGGAGCTCTGCAAAATATAACTGGAATATATTAATGGGGTAGATTTTGGGGTGGAAGGATGAGGGAGCAGAAATTGTTGAGGAAGTCTGCTGTAAAATGTTTTTTATTTGTACTTCAAATCCTGTCCATCAGCTAATGTTAAATATGTTGCAGTCGTTCTTCTGCTTCCTGATATTCCTCAAATCCCCACACAACCCCCTTGAAACCAGGAGTCTGTCCTGAAAGTTGTAGGCATGTAAACACTGTTACTGCAGGTAGTATTTTAACAGGTTTTAAACTACTGCCTTTTAAATGCATGTAAGATATCAAAGCACTCTATTTTTTTGAGCTGCATTATTTGTCAGGAAAAACTTTTGATACTAATTTCTTGTTATCTGCTTCTGTAACTTTTTCTGCTTTCTTTTGATATGCCTTCACTAAGGTGCAATTTAAACACTGAGGGAGGCTTTGACAGCATTTTCACAGGCAGCTGATAATTCTCAGAGCTAAATAAAATTACGAATAGTCTATAAACAGTATTTTTATACCTACTTCTAAGTACTGTGATGAATAACTTTCTTGAGAAAGCACTGCAGGAAGTGTGAAAATGTCAGACCTGACAGGGCTTGACATAGTGCAGTTGTTAAAACTTTGTTATCAATTTTGGGGGAAATTCAGTTTTGCCCTTCTGTTTCATAACAGACAGCTTAAAGCAAGCACAACAGCAGTTGTTTTCCTTATTCTTAGATACTCTGAATTGTTCTGTGCAGATTGTTATATACTTACATTTTATTTGAATTTTGCTGATGTGCGTGTGGTTTAAAAATGTTTCATGTAGTAAGAAAGATTGGAATATTTATGCTTTTAGTTAAGCTTTTCTTGAACATCTGCTTTTTTATATTCAGATTTGATAAAAGATGATGCAGTCTTACTGAAAGTAATTGCTTTCATGTTTTTTTAATCAGCCTGTTAATATTGCTGGTGAACTCACTTGCAAAATTTTTTCTAATAGCTCTAAACATGAGTAGCTGCCAGCCACTGATCTTAGAGCAGTAAATGCTGTACCCCAGTTTTCATGTATCCTTAGAAAAAAAAGATTCTACAATTGTTAGCAACTTTATTTGAAGATACCTTGAATTTGAAACTGCTGTGATGTCAAACATTCACCCATTTATGGGCTATCTTTGAAATTTTCACAAATGTGGGTGATCTGTTAGCACCTTGATGGCATGGACTGTTTTAGAGCTGAAGTGTCCTTAATTTCACATTTTTGCATGCTCTGTGAAGAATCATAGAATCACAGAATGGTTTGGTTTGGAAGGGACTTTGAAGATCATAAAGTTCCAATCCCCCTGCCGTGGGCAGGGATGCTTTCCACCAGACCAGGCTGCCCAAAGCCCTGTTCAGCCTGGCCTTGAACAGTTCCAGGAATGGGGCATCTTATCACATCCCTTACTCACTGCCTGCAGGGAAATAAATGAGTTTACTAGTTCAAGATTCAGGGCCAATGATCTGCTGCTGACCACACACAATTTGTAATTTTAAGTCTTCTGTCATGTTTTTTGACTTCTGTTCTTGAATATGCCTATCATTTTATGTACTGCTTTTTGAAGATGCCAGCTCCATGTGGTCATTCATCCTTAAAATCTCAGTGCTGCATGATAGTCGATCACTCCTCCTGTTTCTTCAGCAGGATTTCTTTAATGGAATTCAACCATGTCATGTTAATACATGTATTAAAACTCTTTCTGTGTTCTTTTTATAGAACTTGTGTGAAATTGATAGGGGCTTTCAAAGGCAGTGTTCCCCTGGGAGGGGGGTGGCAGTAACTGGCATGACCGCCTGTGAATGTGACTTGTGAAAGTGCAGCTCCAGTGAGCTCTTGGTCACAGTTGGCTGCTGGCTGTGCATTCAGCAGCTGTGTGGGCATATTTTTCCAAGCACATTAAATGCACGATAGCAGCATGGTTTCTTTGTTAGTCTTGCTTCCGTTCTTCTACTTTGAGTTGCTTTTCTTACCTCCTCTAACTTGTTTATCTCTTGTCATTACTTAATTTCTTATTAGAAGAGTGTTTTAAACCACTTCTGGACATGAATGCTTGCAGATTAAAAAAAAATAAAATAAAAAAGCTCTTCTTGTTGTGCATGAAAGGATAAAAGTGAAATGAGTCTTCACAGCCTGATGCAAATTTTCTGATAGTTTAGTTCAGGTTTATAGTATTCCTTCATTGAGGTTCCAGAATACTTCTCAGTCCCTTACTCTGTTATTTGTGACTTTGTGCAACCAGACATTTTCACAGAATCATAGAGTGGTTTGGGTTGGAAAGGACCTTAAAGATTGTCTAGTTCCAAGCTCCCTGCCTTGGGAAGGGACACCCTCCTAGACCAGGTTGGTCAAAGCCTCATCCAACCTGGCCTTGAACACTTCCAGGTAATTTCAGCCCAGTCCTCTCACAGCAGTGCCTGGGTGCTCCTGGATGTCTGTACATGCACCATGAGAGTGTTCAGCCCTGTGCCACTCCAGTGACCTGTGCTTTTACTCTTTGGTGTTGGGTGCCTGACACCAGTTGTGGTGCACACCTTTAGGTGTCAGGCATATTCTGCTTGCCATGGCAAACCAAGCTAGAAGCCACTAAATACTCACTTAATGGTTTGTCAACTTGATTTTTTTAAGATTTTCTAAGCCTTCTGATGTTTGCATTCTTGTAGCAAACTTTCTCACACACTTTCTGTAAACAACTTATTGTTTTACATTCTTTTATGGAAGAGGAGAAACTTGATAGACTGTTAGTTTGTCCAGTATCATTGGAGAGGTGGCACTTTCACCCTCCAATCCACTGTCACCTTTAGAAATCTATAAATGTTAGAGTCAGAAAATAAGCTTCCCTTCTTTTTCCTACCTTGAGAACAACAACGTGTCTGCATCGTGTTATCTCGTATCCTATAGTAACAATGGTTCTTGGTGGAAACTGCAGTGCTTTGTGGCTTAGTTCCATCAAAAACATTATCCATGGGGAACAGGACTCTTTGTGGTTGTTGAATCTGGGTTATTGCTTTTGGTTTCCAATGTGAGGACTGGAAATTCAGTCTTGTGTGCTCTGAAGAGTCTCCTTGCAGGACTTGCTGGGAGGTAAAGTTTTGTGCACCTTGGCTGGCTTGGGAAGCAGGCAGGATGACCAGGACTGGCAATGGAGCTGATAGGAAGAGAAATAGCAGCACAGTCAAACTTGAAATGTTAAAATTCACTGAGCCACTAGGTCAGGAATGAGCAGGTGAGGAGGAGTGGAAAGGGATGGAATCTAAAGGGCTTGTAGGGAGGTGGTGGTTGTAAAAAAGCTGCTTTGGAGAAAGAGCTCATAGAAAGGAGAGCTCTCCCAAAGGGATATAAGGGTTGGGGCTTGGCAAGGAGACTGCGAATGTGAGGAAAAACATATGTTAGAAAAAGGTGAAAGTGTGGAAGAAACAATATTGGCTCAGTGTTAGGAAGGAGGTGTATCTTGTGCATAGTGCTGTAACTACAGCATTCTGTAGCATCTGGCACTTCATAAACATGTTGTGTGAACAAGTTTTAGCTGCAGAAGGTTTGAAATGCCAGTTTCCTGGTAACTGCAGAGCTTTAGGCAGCATTCAGACAGAAATTCTGGCCCAGAATCCACACCAGTAAGGCTTAAAAAAATGCAACAAGCAAATATATCAGTAGAATAGGGGAAGAAGGATCTTGTGTCATGCTTTTGTCCTTCATCATTGATCTTTGTATTCAGCTTAATTAGTAGTCATTAATTGATAGCAAAAGTGGAGGTTATATATTGGAGCATATAGCCATAATTGTAGAATACTTACTGAGCTAACAAGATTAAATCTGAACTATTATAGGACTCTTCTAAGCTTCAATGATTTTCTTTTGTTTAACTTCCTCCCTGAAACCAGATTACCTCTTGTTCAAAGAGTTTCTTTTCATGCTAAAGCCAGCTTTAGTCAAAGCAATTACCTGAAAGAGCTGTTGAAAAGAA